GTACACAGCAGAGCTCGTCTCTTGGATCTCAGGCGACTTGGCTCCTGGGTTAAGTCTCTCAGCTGAAGCACCAATGATACGACCAACTGCGTCATTATATTAGCTGTAGCTCAAGTATTCTCCATGCCAGCACTTACTTTCGGCCCCACTAGGCTTCAGATACGGCTCCGAGACCCATTCATCAGGGCTGGCATCCAGCTTGGGTTGCATCTTGCTCCACGGATAGACAATATCAGACTCTTCAAAGTCTTCAGCTGGGTATCGTGCAGCTGTATGATGTTCCACAAAATGGACAGGGAAGTGAATGAAGCTGGGGAGGTCAAGCCCATCGAGCCAGATGACGGGCTGATCATCTCCACCCTCCTCATCGGCGCCCTTCTTGCCATGGTCATGCCAGTTCCAAGTGGGTGTGACAATGACGTCGCGAGGCTTCATAGGCACTCTCTTGCCGTGAACTGCAGTGAAGCCACCAGTGCCTTCGATGATGAACCTGCATGCGAAGGCAGTGTGTCTGTGCGCGGGTGCCGTCTCTTTAGGCTGCACCAGCTGAAGTCCAGCATACAGGGTATCAGTGGTGTATGGTGCCTCTAGGCCAAAAAGATCAGTGTTGACTCGGGGGGCGGGGAATGCGAGATACCCGACTCACCTCTTGCAGGGTTTCCAAGCATCAGGACCCGGCGCTCAGCTTGCTTCTCAGTGATAAGCTGTCCAGCCTTGAGGAGATATGGCTTGATCTTGTCATATGACCAGACATAGGGAATAGTTTGAGGGTTGGGTGCCGGAGGGTTCAGGCGTGTCATTTGGGCCCAGAGAGGAGCTGTGTTGGTAGCTTTAAGGGCTTCAACAAGCTCTTCAGAGGTGTTTAGTGACTTAGCTGGAGTGGCATTGACAAGAGACTGGCCACCGCTGGGTGCTGTAGCTGCAGAAGGCGCCATTCTGATTAATCTCTTGGACGTTTCTGATGGTAAGCGAAGTTCGGTTGATGATAGTTGTGACAGGCTGCTAGCGGTTGCGTTCTCAATCAACGACTGTGATCTGATCCTTTGACGGCCTTACCTATTGTATCGTAAATATACCCCAGCAAGATTGGCTTGATTATCAATCAACAGTTGCCGAGATACAAGCTTTATTGCTGGTCAATCGGCAGATGGCGCGTGGCATTGTCTTCGGGGCACTATCGGGAAGTGATTCCGGGACACCCAGCCGCCATGCTACCGACAAAGCACAAAACTACATAATTCGTCTGTGCATTGCTGACAATTTACTTACAAGTACATCATTCGAGGAGCAGGTTCAAGAGTTCAAAACATACATGTGACCAAAACAACAATGGCCAAGAACAAGATTACTCAGCCGGTACGTGTAGACTTGCCCTCCAGTGAAACGAGTCAATGTCTTATTCCAATAGGCTGTGGCATATCCTTCACGATCCACTAATCTCCTAGAAAGACTCCATCAAACTGCTGAGCATCCTAACGGCAACGGTTACCTGCCCGGCTCTCAAGTCAAGCTTCAGATCTTGATTGTCGGTGCAGGACTAGGTGGCCTAGCCACTGCCGTTGCGCTCGCTCGTAAAGGCCACGAGGTTACAGTCTTGGAGCAGGCAGCTACCTTGGGTGAGGTACGTATTCACAATGAAAAGGCGTAACTACTGATTGACGTGTAAACTCTAGGTTGGCGCAGGTATCCAGATTCCCTCGAATTCGGGCAGACTGCTCTTGAAATGGGGTCTCGGTCCATATCTAGAACAATATGCCGTTAAGCCGGACAGCATGACATTTCGAAGATGGGCGAACGGCGATCCGATCGCCTATACAAGGCTCTCACCAGACTTTGAAGACAGATACGGAGCACCCTATTTCGTCATTCATCGTGCCGACTTCCATCGAGCCCTTTGTCGCCGGGCAGAAGACCTTGGAGTAAAGATTGTTACTGATAGCAGGGTTACCGACTACGACGAGTCAATTCCTTCCGCCACAACCTTTGATGGTCGCGAATACCGTGCAGATCTGGTTATCGCTGCAGACGGCGTCAAGTCACATGCTCGATCAATTGTGCTTGGTGGTTCAGACCTACCACCCCAAAAGACTGGTTTTGCGGCTTATCGCGCTACGGTAAACACAGAAGAGATGAAGAAGGATGAAGACACAGCCTGGTTACTTGAAAAGCCTGGGATCAACATCTGGTACGTGTGACGTCTCTTCAGTAGTGCAGTTAGTGTTGACCATTTAAGGATTGGGGAAGACCGTCATGTCATGACGTACTCTATTGCTGGGGGCAACTCCTTTAATATGGTCTTGTCTCACGTCGATCATTCATCACCCAGTACATGGAATGCCGAGAATGCAATCCGCGATATGCAAGACTCATTCCAAGATTGGGACCCAAAGTGAGTCATCTCCTCTTCACATGCACGGACAGATACTGAACGTCATCAGGCTGTTCAAAGTGATCAAGATGATCAAGAGTACGCTCAAGTGGCCCCTGATGAGCGGTAGTCGTCTCCAAACCTGGATATCGAGGAGTGAAAAGCTCCTTATCCTCGGAGACGCTGCTCATGCTATGGTACCATACATGTCCCAAGGTGCTGCCATGGCCGTAGAAGACGGCGCTGCTCTGGCTACAGCGATCTCAAAGATCAACTGCAAGGACCAAGTCGCAACTGCTCTGCATGTATTTGAGAAGGAAAGGATGAGTCGAAGTTACGGTATGCAGTCTGCAAGCTTGGTAAATGGAAAGCTATGGCACTTTCCAGACGGTCCTTTACAGCAAGCTAGGGATCTTGGAATGAGGGCTGAGGTGGAAGGACGGCCATTCGTTGAGAGCACGAATCAGTGGAGTGACCCCGTAACTCAGATTTGGGCCTATGGGTATGATGCCGAGGATGCTATTGAAGAGCTCTGGCTGAGCGAGGCTGTATAACTGCTATAGTATAAATTAGCATTAATGCTTTAGTCCTGGGAAATAGGGTAGAGTATAAGCAATAAGCTTATAATGCTTAAAGCAATAGCTATATAGAGAGATATTAAGGCAGGGTTTGCAATTTTTATGTAAGCTCAACACTTTATAACAATAGTCTGTAAGTGTTTTACTGGTAACATTTTCCACTAAGCTTTGGTCAGTTCCCTCTAACTAAGTCGAGAGAGAGCCAGCAAACGTGTTAGCCAATAGGGAGTCGTTGGAGACGGTCGGGGAGCACGCTCCCCGACCGTCGGCCTGTCCCTAACATGAACCCCTCACCGGTCATGTTCGGCTTTGTCGATCCGACAAATTACCAACTGCTAAGGTTCCAGTCAACGTCTTGGCTTAGTGATTCTCTGCCCTAACAAAGGCATAAAATATCAATTGCTTCCTCTTACAGCCAGCTTTGGATAATAGACAACAAATCATACAGTTTACAATACCAGAAACAACAAGAAAACCGCCTCTAAATGGAAAAGTTCGATGTCGCCGTAGTAGGCCTCGGTGCCCTTGGAAGCGCAGCAGTCTGGCAAGCGGCAAGAAAGGGAGTGAAGGTTGTGGGCTTTGAACAGTTCGAGTTCGGCCACGTCCGAGGTGCATCTCACGACACGTCTCGCATCGTCCGCACAGCATACGATGCTCCGGAATACGTATCGCTCGCCAAAGCCGCCTACAAAGACTGGGCCGAGCTAGAGAAAGACGCCGGTTTGAAGCTGTTGACTGTCACTGGTGGCATTGTGGTGCTTGCGAATGATCGTACCTGGACATCCGGCTTCAAGGTCTCGGATTACACTGCGAGCCTCGACGCCAACAATGTACCCTACGAGCTTCTAAGTGCCAAAGAGGTCAATAAGCGATGGCCTAAACTTGACATTGGTGACGACGAGAATGCAGTGTATACTCCAGATACTGGTATTGCGCATGCGGCTAAATCTGTGACAGCGATGCAATTCGTTGCTCGCGCTCGCGGAGCCATTCTTAAGGAAAACACACCAGTGACAGCAATCATACCAATCACGAATGGCCGAAACGACAAAGGAGTCATCATCAAGACAGAGAATGGCGATTTCCAGGCTCGCAAGGTCATTCTCGCAGCAGACGCCTGGACCAACAAACTGCTTGCTCCTCTCGGCGCACAGATTCCACTTGAGGTCATGCAAGAGCAAGTAACATACTTCAAGCCCAAAGAACCTGCTCTGTTTGATGCCGAGCACTTCCCTGTATGGATTCGGATGGTTGACGGAAAGACATTCTACGGATTTCCCACTTTTGGTGAACCCACCATCAAGGCTGGCCGCGACGTTTCCAACAACCGTATGAGCCCTGAAGAACGGTCCTACACTCATTCTCCAAAGCTTTTGGATGAGTTGACCGCATTCATGAAGGACTTTGTAACCAAAGATGAGGACCTTGAGATCCTTCGCACAGTTACATGCCAGTACACGATTACTCCAGGCCGACATTTCGTACTTAGCGCACTAAATCAGTATCCGGATATTATGGTTGCCTTAGGGGCGGCTCATGGTTTCAAATTTGCGCCTGTAATCGGTCGGGTCATGGCGGAACTGGCTATAGATGGAAAGACGACTGAGGATCTCTCCAAGTTTGTTATCCCGGCGATTCAATCAGTTGTTCGAAGTAAGATCTAGTATTGTTTTATATACAGCTTTTATGATTATATGAGGTATCTCGCGTATCTGATCTCTATACTGCAATTGAACCATGATGTTAGATCTGTATCTTTCCAGTACATAGAAAATGAATGTGTTTCTCAAGTTAATAAAATCGAATTTGAATCGCAATATGCATAAAAGCGTCGCACCGATGAAGAATATTTAAGCAATAAGCTTTCTTTATATATTACTCAGGAAGACTTAAGTAATTTACGTAGTGAAAGTAATGGGACCATAAGGTTATAATAGATGTATTAAGAGGACTATAGAAGAAGTACTTAAGCTGAAAGCTGATGAAAAAAGGGGCTATCCTGAGAAGGGTGCATTCAAGAGCAAGGATTAATAACATATAATGCCATCACTTCTCTACATAGACCGCTTTCCATAAGGCTCAAACGGTAAGATCACGGCTATGATAGCCTAGTACATATCAATTAGGCGCCATTCTTCAGGGATGTCACCAGGAGTGTAGCTTACCATGACGATGTAGAGTACAGCGCATACATAAATGGGTACTGATGTCGCAGTGTTGCCATAAGCTGCTACAAAGGAGGATACCAATCCCATAATGCGGTTTCCTGCTACAGCTATTCCGTTGCCCGTTGCACGATGAGCTGATGGTAGTACCTGTGTTGTGTCAGTCGATACACCTACTGTCAGTCCAATGCCGACCCCACAAACCTCTGGAGTGTATGCGTATACTGGGAAGGATTCATGTCAGTCAGGGTTCTTTATTATTAGTCTAGAGACTAGTGACTTACAGGTTCCATAGTAGATATTTAACGTAAAAGCAATGACACAGCTCAAGGCCACGTTCTGAGCCGGAGTCTTCACAGCAGTATAAGCGAAGAAGAAGGCCATGGTGATGAGTGCTCCAATTGCCATAGTGTACTTCCGGCCAAGCAGCTTGGTGTTGCACATAAATGCAGCAGCCACTGGCCCAAATATGCCCGTGACGCTGCTGAGCATGTAGTTTCTCCACTGATAATATGGCCCTGACTCTCCCGTTTTGGCACCACGACTGGCAAGATAGTCTGGGAGAAACACATAGAACAGTGGGTATGCCAGGCCTAGGGACGTTAGTTTTATTGTTCTGATGCAAGGCTGAGTTTGGATTACCAATTAGAAGCCAAGATATCCAAATCAGAATCGTTGAGATGGCGAGCTTCCTCGTCACGAATAATCCATGGAAATGTGCCCAGAGCTCGCTGAGGCTATACCTAGACTTGCCATACGTGGAGTTAATGGCCCCCATAGACTCAAGTGCGTCAACTGTGAGACTACAAGGCCGTTGATATTTCTTTGCAATATCTTGGTAGATAGCAACCACAGCAGCGTCATCACCTTTGGCAAGAAGGTACTTGGGGGTCTCCTTGAGTCGAATCACAGTGACTCGTAGAATGCTACACACAAAGACGAGAGCTCCATTTCCGTACCAGACATATCGCCAGCCCTTCGATACAGATCAGTCAAAAACCGAGGTCACGGTGTATCAAGTGTCTGTACTGACCATATTGTTACCCTTGGTGCACGTATCAGTGTCCGCGCAGGTATACTTGGGATTCGAGTAGATTGGCCAGCAAAAGGCGGCAACAATGACATATGCAAGCCCCCACCAGCAGGCCATCAACGTAACCAGCCATTGCTTGTTGCCAGGAAGAAACTCTAGGAATACAGTAGTGTCGAGAACAAGGTTGCCGCCAGCACCAAATCTGTGCATCCAGTATTAGTAAGTTTGCGATCTGGATGGTGAGGAACCTACGCAGCAAGACCGACAAAGGTGGCAAGGACAATCCAATTAGGCGAGGCACCGGCCGCAATGGCGAATACGGAAGATAAAAAGAGTGAGATGTTGAAAGCATAACGCCGGCCGATGACATCCGCACCTAAGAAGCAAATAAGGATCTTGTAAGATGACGAGAAAGGGTCGTGTTGTGTTACCTAGTCCCCAGAATAATACACCAACCAGCATTCCTGTATAAACAGCCACATTGAGACCATAAGAGAACGCAGGACGAAACTCGAGAGCAGCCTGACCGGCAGTCACAGCTTGAAGGGCAAGGATTAGAGAATCAGCAGCGTAGCCGAAACCATTCAGACAAAACAGCTTGAGGTGCATGTTTGTCCAGCCAATTTCATCCATGGTCTACACAGTGATGGATTAGTCCTGGGATTGTTCTTGCATCACTGGATTGGAGCTCTGGAGACCTTATTGATGAGGCGCATTTTAGCATCAAGCACTGGGTCGATGTCTCGAAGAGAGAAGATTTGTTCATCCTCGGTTCCCATCTGAAAGCTCAGGGACTCACCATGCCGGTCGTCACTGGTACGTAGGTCGGCATAGCGCTCTCGGTCAGAGAGTTTATCTGATGGCTGAGGCACGGTAACTGGACCGCCCGTGGTGGATTTGTCTGACATGATCACGCAAGATATTAGAAGGTAATGATGTATGCAAAGGCTACTTTGGTCTGAAAATGGCCAAATTGTGGAAACTCTAAGCCAGAACGTGGGGCCTGAGCTGTCTTTTATTGTTAATTTTGACCAAGTCATTAGTTCCCATTTTTGGCATCGCCATTCTTATCTAGCCAGCAGTGATCGGGCACATTTCATAACCTGGTATAGCTTACCATTGAATACTCCTGATTCGTTAATCTGCCAGTTCGCATCAGTCTGAAACTAAGAATTTCTGTTCCTGGAGCGGGGTAATGAGATATGGTATGGGATACGGCGGACAGGAATCGCAATCTCCGACGCTTTAGCTCGACTTCGAAAGCAATGTTACGCATCAATTGATTACTGCTTGATATCCAAAGACCCATAAATAGCCCGTTCTGTGAGAATCAACCAATCAGAACGAGTTGATTTCAGGACGGCGTACCAAGTCCACATTCCGACGTGTATGAGGGGGTTGAACTGATGCAGATAACCTGGCACGTGGTCGGGGAGAGTTACTTTGGCCTTCCCGAGAGAGGTATGGGCGGGACGGGGAGATTAGCAGTTGCCCGAACAAGGCAATAGTCATGCGACACATTTCCCGTCCAAACAACGCATTGTCGTAACAAAGATACGACCAGTTGCAAAACAATGACGTGACCAAATAAGGGAGACAGGAAATCGGAGAAGTATACGGGGAGGTCGGACCGTCTGAACTCTCAGATTGTACGCCATGTCTCCCGTTGATAGATTATGGGAAGACGGTTGAAGGATGGCTAGATAAGTCAAGAGATAGTTCTCGTATTCCTTTTAGTGACATCTAATTTATGTCTTTATTGCAAGCAGACTCGAATACCTCCTGCTGATAGCTTTGCCTGATCTTTAATAATCTCATATCAATACCATGTTCTCAAAACTCGGTTCGGTGCTGGCCATGACTGGCGTAAATGGAAACGCTATTCTATCTGGCAAATCAGAGTCTCCAGAGCCAAGGGCCCTCCCCGCATCATGGTACCGCCAGGACGAAATGTATCAGCTTGAGCGACGCGCTATCTTCTCCAAGCGATGGCTTCTCGCCACGCACAAATTACGCTTCACCAAGCCGGGAGACTTTCTCCGCTTCGAGGAGGCAGGCTATGCTTTTGTGCTGTGCCTGGACAAAGACGGAGAGACCATCAACGGCTTTCATAACATCTGCAGGCACAGAGCGTTTCCAATCGTCACAGAAGAGGCGGGAAACGCCAAGATCTTCTCCTGCAAATATCACGGTTGGTCGTACGGCATCAACGGAAAGCTTGCCAAGGCACCGCGCTTCGACACCGTCCCGGCGTTCAACAAAGATAACCACAGCCTCTTTCCTGTCCATGTGCATATCGATGCCATTGGCTTCGTCTGGGTCAACTTGGATGCATCCCCGGAGCCAGAAGTGAAATGGACGGACGACTTTGAGGGGGTTGACTCACAGGAGCGGTTCAAACATTTTGACTTCTTTCAATATCAGTTCGATCACGTCTGGGGCATGCCAGGCAATTACAACTGGAAAACCCTTGCAGATAACTACAACGAATGTTATCATTGCCAGGTTGCGCATCCAGATGTTAAAGCCATAGCAGATTTGTCCTTTTACTACACCGTGTCCAAGCCGGGTTACATTCAGCACTTTTCGCGGCCAAAAAAGGGAACTGAAAAAGACGACATCAAGATCAGTAGCACCTACTATTTCCCCAACGCCTGCATGACTGTTTCGTAAGTGCTAGTGATTTCTTTGCACGCTTGATCGACGGGCAGATCTAATCTCGTTTTTATCATACAGGCCGCATTTCTTCTACATGATGCGATGCGTACCGACATCAGTTGGCACATGTTCAATGGAGTATGAAGTCTATCGCCATAAAGACGCCACCGACGAAGAATTCGAAAGAACTAACTCCTTCTTCAAGCGGGTTCTCGGAGAAGACAAGTACTTGTGCGATGCGGTGCAGAAGAACCTGGAAGCAGGTGTCTTTACCAACGGAGAGCTGCATCCTGACTTGGAGAGCGCGCCGATCTTCTTCCAGAATACGGTGAGACAGATTGTGACTGAGCACCATAGAAAGGAGCAGGATTCGAAGGGGGAGATATGGCCTGCTCGGCGACATGTATCGACTTCTGAGGTCACAAAGGGCGATGATGAATTTTGCGATGGACTAGCTTGCAAGGCTGATAGTGCTGATATGGAGTGGTGAGTTTTGATACGGATATAGTGCGCTTTACAAGGAATGCCTTTCTTCCTGGAGATGTGAGAGTAAGGGGTAAGAAAGTGATAGGTTCTTGTTCCATGGATTAGAGATTGTACCTGCGGGGAAGGCATTAATAGAGCGGAATTTGTATCGATCTATTACGTCGCCGATGATGTTTCACGCTTATAATGAATGTTTTGATAATGTAGCATAAATGACCACTCGCCCATCCATACACTAAGCCATGACCCTTGCCGCATCGTCTTCTATCTCAGGTACTCTTTGTGCACTCAGAAACTCTGGATTGGCGGAAAGCTCTTCCTTTACCTATCCATCGTCACTATCGACATCAAATATTCCCTGGAAGCGAGCTGTACTTACAATATCCAACCCGCCAACTAATTGACCATTGGCCCATAACTGGGGGAAAGTCGGCCAGTCGGCATGTTCCTTGATGCCCAGACGAACGGTCTCATCCTTCAGTACATAGAAAGAACTGTAATGAATGCCATGGTGGTCCAAGATGCGAACGATATGTCGGCTGAAGCGACATAATGGGCACTTGGGCACGCCCTTCATGAAGAGCATTACTGGGGCGCCATTGACTAGATCTGTTAATCTGGAATGGAGTGCTGCTTTTGGCGCGGCAGGTTCAGAAGCTTCTATCGTCTGCAAACCGGCCGGCATCGGCTGGGCGTGGATATTTTCGGTGGAATTTGACATAATCGAATGGAGGTGGGTTTTTAATTCTTGCATGACGTGGAATTCTCTTATACACAAAAGCTGTAGTTGAGATTAAAGCAATTCTATATCTAAGTACCGACAAAATTTTGACCGATGTGATACAACTTCATCAGTTGTCAGGCTTCCACTGTAGTTCATTGCTGGTAATAATGGGCTCGCTCGGGATAGCTCCGTTTTTTGGTTTAGTTATGGCTCAGAAATGCTGTCATACCTGTAACCCTTTACATGGGTGTCTTCGTCCGGGTCAGCAACATATATCATCGACCTCATTGGTTTCACGATGCTTGCTTTTGTTGGGCCGAGCGTCGTCTGACGCAATCAGTGTCACCACACAAGAAAAGAAGAAAATCTCGTATCTTCACTTTACGGATGATGTCACTATGGCTAACGTCTTTCCGATGTCCCGAATTATGTTCATTTAGCTCTTGGTAAAATGTAGCCCAAATGTTCGCCACCATATGCCGTCGACCCACAAGCGTTTGTTTGTCCTACCCATACTTGAAGGGCTCAAGATTCGGATTCCGAGATCAGGATCTTGCCAATCAATAACGTCACATTCAATGGATACAACAATGAGCTCTTCATTCTGATAAGAGGTCTTGGCCTATAACCTCGTCTTGTATCTTGGCCCGGTAGAACCAAAAAAGACCCGTTAAATTGTCTTATGGTTCTAAATTCTCCAACAATCTTGCCCATTCTCAATCGGATTACAAACACCCACCAAGACCTCAGCATGCCGTCCTACCAAGTCACCATAAAGACTCGAGACAAAGACTATACCTTCAGCTGTGACAGCGATACGTATATCCTGGACCAAGCTGAGGAAAACGGCCTGGACCTGCCCTACACTTGCTGGGCAGGGGCTTACTCTTTTTGTACGGGCAAAATTGTCTCAGGAACAGTCGACCAAAACGATCAGAGCACCTAGATGACGAACAGATAGAGGAGGGGTTTGTCCTACTTTGTGTCGCCTAACCCACCAGTGACCGTGTCATAAAAAGTCATCAGGAACGATCATGTACCGGCGAAGAATATGCACATTCATTGCTTTGAGCAAATGTGGAATATTGGGAGCAAGAAATATTAGGAATTAATCTGCTATACATGGTCCAAGTTCATGAATTACCCTAAACAAGTCACGCTAACGGTGATCACCACCGTCGGCCCCGCACCTAATACAGTTAAGTTTGGACTCCGATGCTCATCCCCGCATTTGATAAGACTGTATATAAAAGTAATGGCCCAGCTTCATACTCAGACGACACCCCTCTTTTCTCGCTATCTGTTGTCTCATGAATTGAGCAAATACACGTCATGTACGGCAGTCGATCACACAAGCGTCTACACCAGGCGTGCGAGAACTGTCGGTGAGTCCTCCAGTAGCCAATTGACGCGTTTGTCGTGCTATTCTGGCACTAGGCGGTCCAATATTAATTCAGTATCCGTAGGAGGAAGAAGACCCGGTGTCCGGGAGAGAGACCAGCTTGTTCGAGCTGCACTCGCCTTTCAAAAACGTGCACGTACCCAGAAGTTCGAGGGAACCCTGTGACCTCAGGGCCTCAAAATGGAAGCAATTCTATAGACACAGTATGCTTATTGGAGGCGCGTGAGCATAATAAAGTCTTGTTACTCACGACGGGTGACGTTTAGGAGAGACGACTTGCCCAGCTCGAAGCAAAAATTCGTATGATGGAAAGGCAAGAGTATGATCAGCACTTCGATTCTTGCTCTATGGGTTTATGTGGCTAACGATGCCCACTGCAATCAAATAGGGCGAATGGTGAAATGGAGTCTTATACCAGAATATTGGAGAACTCGGCCCAATTCCAGGACTGGCAGCTACCACTATCGCCGAGTGTTGAGATGGATAGCTCCACAACGACTAGGTAGGTTGAGAGAGGGTTGTCCGTTGCATCGTGTCGTTGGCTAAGTAGCTGAAGCAGCATATTGCCTCCGAATGACGTTCTGGAAGATGTCATCGGTGCATATTTTCAATATTGTCACAAGCAGCCTTTATGGCTCTTCAACCGACAAGACTTTTCTTCCATGCAGGATTGTAGTGAGGAGACAATGCTGGCCTTGCTGGCCCTTGCTTCGTGTCATTCAAAACATCCTTTCTTTCAAGGCCGTGTGCACGAACTAGGCCAGAGCTACGCACAGGCTGCAAGAGAGGGAATCATGCACCAGGTAGGCGAGGGCAAGGTTTCGATAACCACCGTTCAGAATCTGTGCATCCTGACACTGGCCAATATACAAGGTAAGCGCCCTGCTTAATTTAGCTGGTCACCATGTGCTGAACGTGCTATATAGCCAACAAAACGACCCTGGCACATCTGCATATAGGCATGGCAAACACGCTTGCTAAATGTGCCAATCTTGATGTTGAGGCCTGCGCCATTGAAGACTTTGGCACGCGTGCAGAGACGCGAAGAAGAGTGTTTTGGAGCCTGCACTTGCTGCAGCAGATGTACGGACATCAGTCCTTCACTACGGACATATTACAAGATATTACCAGGCCGCAATACATCGCGACGTATACAGACCCGCGGAAGAGCGTCAACGAAAGGCCCCCAGCCATTCCACATGAAGACATTTCAGGTCAGGACGAAACAACGAGCGCCGACAAGAAGAGCGGGATATGGGCCTATATGCTCCAGACGTCTACGCTGTGGGGAGAGGTCCGGACATATGTAAAGCAATGGGCCCAACAGACCAACAACGCACCGCCTCCTTGGTCCATTGAGTCCGGATACGCAGTCATCAACGCCTATCTCATGGACTCGGAGACGAAATTCCCAGATCGGCACCGATTTGATAGCGCGCGATTTACTGAGCAAGAAAACCGACACCTTCAGAGCAATCGAGGATATTGGAGTCCGTGGATATATCAGCAATTCGCATATCACACGATCCATAACATGCTAAACCATCCCTTTCTGTACTCTTCGCGACCGCAACAGTCGGCTCAGTTAGGAGTTCCCAACACGTTCTGGAAGACATCATCTGAACTTGCTTTTATCCACAGCATTTGGGTTGCACGTCTCATAGAGATGGTCATACATAAAGATTATCGCGTCTCGGATCCATTTATTGGTCATTGTGCGTCGATAGCGGCGACTATTCACATCTACTTTTGTCGGGCGGCCGACAAAACTACCAGGGAGGCAGCTCTAGACAGACTGGCGAAATGTGTCGCATTTTTGGCTGAGCTGGCTTTGCTCTGGCCTTCATGTAGATGGTTGGTAAGTAGGATCATCATATATCTGTATTCCGGAACAGAACACTAATTTTCAGCAGCATGAAAGACTCCAGTCGTTGATCCGGGCAGCATTCGAGGTGGACCATGAGCAGGGAAAAGACCAAGAGGTCCCTCCACCGAGGACCATTTCTATCAACACGCGTTTAATGTGGGATATTCTTCTTTACAACTCTGGTGCTTACAGAGGCACAACCAGTTCTCCACAGACACGAAGTCTTTTCGACGGCAGTTCTCTGTTTCCAGAGGACAACACGGATGATGGAGAAGACATCGTTGAGATAGATAATTTCCACAGCCCAACTGTGGAAGTGAGTTTGGGGAATGGCCAAGCCTTGCCGCCACAACCCGGAAGGAGAAGAACGAGATCTGGCCAAGGAACGCAGGAGTCCCAGGCAAATCCTGTAGCTCAATCTTGTTCTATTCCAGAAACATTCGGATCTTCCACTGAACAAACCCCTCTTGCTTCTTGGCCTATGTCTTTGGATATGGCCTATGATCCGTTCTTTCAATTTCAAGATTCAGGTGGCCCCTTTTTCGGAATATGGGAAGTAGGAAATCTCTAGTTCTAGCTCGCTGTACTATAGAGAGAATTGCAGGATGAAAGGTATAGCTAGCTCTCATTTCTTGAACAGGAAACAGATTATATTGACCCAGCGTTCATTCAGTTACACTATAGTACTCGAATATCAACTATCCTCAGCCAGAACAGCCTCTAGACCTCGGAGTAGATCCGCCAAGAGATCTCCCGGATCCTCCACACCAATGCTGATTCTCAGAAAGTCCTTGGTCACCGTCGAGTCCGTCATCGTCCTCCACTCGATCAAGCTTTCTACACCCCCGAGGCTGGTTGCATGATGGAAGAGTATCAACTTGGACGGAAGGTTCCGCGCATATTCCACCTTGTGGAGCGTTAGAGAAAACACAGGTCCATATCCTCGGGGCATCTGTTTTCGCAGCCAACTCCCTTCGATATTAGCCTCGTCTTGCAGGCTGGCGTGGTGAACCTCTTTAACCACTTTCTGGATGATCTTAGTTTCTTTCGCGCTGAGACCTATCGAGGGTGGCTGCCGACAAGACCCTACCAATCCAAGTCTCAATGCACTAACGATGGCCTCGGCTGACTGGCTTTGTTTGAGAACTCTCATCTCTAGAGTGCGGATGCTCCTAGTTGCAAGCCAGCTGTCGAAACCTGCCATCACAGACCCAAGGTACAATCGATCCCGATGAAGTTGCTGCAGCCATTCATCGCCGGGGCTGCCACCCTTGACCGCCAGAATGCCACATAAGAAATCAGAATGGCCTCCAATGTATTTTGTGCCAGAGTGCATAACAATATCTGCACCCTGAATGAATGCATCTTGTAGTGGAGGAGGAGCAAATGTTGAGTCTACGCTGAGATAGGCACCTCTGGAATGGGCGCGGTCTGCGTAATACTGAATGTCAAATGCTTTCCCTGTCGGATTGACTGGCGTCTCGAGGTGTATCAAGTCGCCGGAACCTAATTGGTCGACGGCACAGTCGAGAGATAGTATCTGTGTCCCAGATGAACGGGCATAGAGCTCGAGGGTCCCATGACATCCGTGGTATCCGGCACCGATAGAGACGCTCCTAGGTTTCAACATGATCAGCAAGGCATGAAATGCCGCAAGACCAGAAGAGTAGGCAAGGCAGGGTTGTGCTAGAACAGAAGACAAGACGGCTTCAAGGCGCGACAATCCTGGCGTGGATTGTCTTGAGTAGCAGTGTTCCCCGACTTCTAGAACCGGATAGGAAGGTCTCTCGTGGTGTTCTCGCATGCGCTCTGGATTTCGTGGATAGCGGAAGGTCGCGGCAACGTGAATCGGCGGTGCCACGTCGTCGACATTGTTGAGAACATCATCCGCGTGTACGGCTTGTGTGGCGGTTGACAGACTGGGTAAAGCCTTTGCCAAGTTGGTTCTGAAACATTGTTCTGTTGGATCCATAACCTTCAATTGTTCAACACAAATAGTAAGAGTCGCGGCACAATGCTTCCAGATTCTATTGCTGACTTTCGCTTCATCGCTTTTTATCCCTGACTTTCTGAGAAACTACAGTGCTATCACGGGGTGAATTCACAGCCTCTCAATCCGAAGCACTTATCTCGGTAGGCTTTGCCGGTGCTTGGCCGATGATCGCCGCATTGTCCCCGATATGAATCCATTGAGCTTGCGCCGGGGAGATTGCAAGGAAGCCGACCACGTGACCGGATCTCCTTCAGTCACTCTTCTAAATCTTGGCTAAATTGAGAAACTTACAGTCACATATTTAGCTCTCTTTTCATTCTCATCTCTGTATCCTATGCATAATATAGGTAATAGGACAGTAATTAGTTGCCTGAGAACAGCCAACATCTGTTCTTATACCAATAGAGATATTAAATTTCTAGAAGTAAAATTAGATACAATTAAAGCTACCTCATTGCCATTTAACCCAAACAAACATTAGTACATAACTGAGTAGGATAGCTTTTAATATCCTGCTCAACTCAACTCCTCTATTGTGCTACAGTTTAGTTCTCTAGCATTGCTACAGCGATATTGCGGCTGCGTGTATCCTATAGAATTAGTTGTGCAAGCCTCTGGGCGAAGGGCCTCTTCTGTAAGTAGCATAATTCCAAACCCGGCAAACCCAAGACCATGCTTCAGACAATATCCAGCCGTTTTCTAAAGGACAGCTCTGTAGGAAAGTCAACCTATCACCTAGAGGGTTGCCATCAATATGTTGGCTGTCCTTTCATTTGCTCGTCTTTGTGAGTAAATCGGGTGCTGATCGAGAAGAGTACCATGTGTGAGGGAATCCGTGGTCGCCCTTGGCTCGGCTAAACGGGTTCGTCAAGGACATTTCGTGCGCACCACATGGACCTCGTTCATCTGTAACATCGTCCAGTGGGGCACTGCAAACCCGGCGGTCGTCTACACGACTCTGATTTCCATTCAGGCGGTGACTCCACAGTCGCATCTTAGACATCGACTTCCTTAGCGTTCGCCTCATACCAGGTTTGGCTACAGAGCCGGTATATGTTTTGGTTATTGGCCTTGGTGTCGCTTTGAATAGGTTCGTTGTCGTCTTGAACTGGAAGAGCAGAGCATTGAAACGCTCCCGAGCCTCAAGTAAGTCTTTCCTATCCGGATAGTCATGGGGCGTATGCTGCAACAACGCCTTTATGAGTATCGGATACCTCATTATTCTCTGTAAAGGTTTGATTAATAGTGATCCAAGATCCCAGGCATGCGTAAGGTGCTCTGTGACCTCCCTGCACTGCTCCATCCAGTAAACAACGGCGGGATGCTTTTGAATGACCACTAAATACTCTCCAACCTCCTCACCCTTTTGTAGGAACTTCTCAACGACCATACTTATGCTATCGATATTGAGCATAAAGGCACGCCCGATCCATGCCCTTCTGTCTTCAGCTTCACTGACTTGTATCAAATTGTTTTGATTGAAGTTTGTCGTAGAGATATTTTTGTTGCCTACAGGAGGTTTCTCGTGATGATGATTATAAACACTCGCCGCAGACTTCTCAAGCTCTGATTGAAAGGAGGTGTGGACGGAAACAATGTCGTCGATGTTACGGAAAATAAGCTGTATCGCCCCGAAGTCTAGTCCAGGGCAAGCGTCTGCAGTCCCTTTATAGATATGAAGCAGAATTTGCATATCTTTGATGAAAATTCTCTCCGTATCGACGAGTTCCTTTATCACGTTTCGACGCTGGGTAATGAGTGATGCGCACATGTCGTGGAGCTGGGCATTTATCGTCACTTTGGTCGTCGGCCGATTGTTGGAGTGCCGCTCCTCTTCAAACACCAGCGTTGTCGGTAGATTAATTGTTGAGATGCATTCTGCATGTTGCGAGTCGTGTTCGAGTACAGGATCAAGCTTGTGCCGTGGCGCCCACGTTACCTGCTGGACGCAAGCTGGGCCAGATATGCTATTTGAAACTGTACTTAGCATCTTAAGACTAAGAGCTATTGCCAGAAAGAAGCGATATTAATAATGAATAAATTTATTAAATTTATTGCTTTTGCTAAGAACTTAGCTGGCGTAAGTAGGCCTTTGTACTGTATAAGCTTGAGGTGCGAGCGTGTCTTAAACGTTAATATACGCTACCCATTTTAAGAAGGCCAATTAACCAACATTTCAAGTCATCGGCACATACATTAGTTAGAGTCAGATTGCTCTACTTAGTGCCGTGATAAGCTCCAAATGTGTCTCACTTTAGTAGCTGGATATGACAAGGAATGCTAGTCGTTAACTATAAACTGGAATTTTTATTATATTATGTTGATCACAGTCCGAGTAAATAAATCTCCGATGGAAAGTAAATTTACATTCCTCGGCACATGATGTCTTTAAACACATATAAAGGAGTCACCCATTATTAACCTCGGCAAGTAGCTGTAATGCTACGCCTTCAATGTCATGAGTATGACGTCATACTTCAAAAAATCGGGATTTCTTAAAAAAGGTGTTGAATTACTGGACCTCGTCACTCTTTCTTCAACCATAAACTAAGAGTAGTAGAGGTTCTCAACAATAAAATAATTGGATTTGTGTGTACTCTTTTATTCGTTTGACCAGGTCACAAATGCGACACTGTTGCCCGTAGGCCACAACTTGAGGAGATCCAACGTTATTGAAGGAACTTAACGCGCATTTCTCTCGCTCCCTTAAAGGCGTTGTCGAACAGCATCATACCACCCGTCCACATGGCTTCATTGAAGTTGATCCTCGCCGGGCTTGCTGAAAATGCGATCAGATGCCTGAACACCAAGGATCAATCACTAGGCACCCTAATCCCTAATGCTATACGAGTGGAGGGTTAGACAATTCCAAATGGGTACCGAATATAGTATATTACAGATGGAAATGAGCCATGCCAGCCTTTCGGCGCGACTGAGTCCACTCGAGGATCAGGTCAACTAGGGAAAAAATCTGATCAGACGTGTGATCCGCGTGCAAGTTGATCCTGACTCGCTCCTTGTCCTTGGGTACCACGGGGAAGTGAACAACAAGAACGCGAAACTTTGCATTGCACAGAAACTGTCCTAGAATTGCTGCTGCGCCATGAGGAGCAATAACAGGGATAACTGGTGACTTGACAGTATTTGTTTCAGGCTTCATTGGAATGGTGATGATACCGAGGTGCTGGCAGTCTGGCCATGATACATGCTTTTTGATAGCATCATAGAAGAGATCTATGTTGGACTGTATGACATCTCGTCTCTAATGTATTCAAATTAGCGAGTACACGTGATACTGGTGACCCTACAACATACCCTTTCACCTTCAATACTTGCTAAAATGCTATACCCAGCCTTGACTGCCGCCAGCGTGGTGAAGGTCGGTGCAGTGGAGAAAATGAGTCCACGGACGCAACTGAGCAGGACCTGCTTGCACTCTCTGCTTGACAAGACAACAGCTGTGCCATTGAGTAAGTATTTTATAGCCAAACAAAATTGTAGCTGGATTTGAAGTTTACCTCCAGAAGCCCCATGTGCTTTGCCAAACGTATGGACTCGAATAGAGAATTCTTTTTCCAGGCCCAAATGAGACACGAGTCCTGACCCCCAGGGGCCTACCAGTCCTGTCGAATGAGCCTCATCGATCACAAATACAGCATTCCCGTGGGGAAGCTGCTCTTTCACTTCCCTGACAATTGCCTCAAGGGGTGCCACATCGCCGTCCATACTATAGAAAGGCTCTAGTGCAACAAACACAAGAGCTAGGCCCGATCTAGCTCTTTCATGCTGATTTTTGGTGTCCAGCAGACGTTGGCGTAGACTTGCCAGGTCGTTGTGGGTAAAAGGGACAGCAGTTGCACGGCTCCTATACATTCCTTCTCGGATACTTGCGTGGACGAGGCTATCATACAGCACCACATCATGCGGCTGGGCAAGTGTCGAAAAGACAGCAACATTTGCTTCGTAGCCAGTGTTGAAGAACAAAGCACTGTCTGCTTTATGGAACTCGGCAATATGCTCTTCCAGTTGGAAAAGGTAATCGGTTGAGCCTTCACCCCAACGGGATGCCCTTCCGCCGAGGATAAAGTCGGGGTGCTTCCCAAGCTCTTTGAGGAATTCCTCTCGTAAAAGGCCAGAAGAGGATAAGGATAAAGTGTCATTCGAGCCAAAGTCAACCATGCCGGTTAGAGTACCCGGGGCTGGTGGTTCAAGCTGCCAGCCTCTTGTTTGCCGGTCCTTGAGGATTAGTTGCAAGTTCTGTTCAAGTGCATCTGGCTTTGACATGATGGATTTGCTTCTATGAAGTTTCAAAGAGAAAGCAAAGATGCAAATTCAGAACGATTTTCCTAATGTCTTAGGCGGAGCAATGGATGTTAAGGCAGCGGGAAAACCTACGCGCTTGATGTTGGTCTTTTGAGGCTTGCGTCGCTGGTTTACCTCCTTGTGAACATAACAGACTTTCCTACTGCATCACCTAGCGGTGAACCCGATAAGTTACCTGTTTGATTCCCTTGCAGCCCAAAGATGGCAAACACAATGCTTGCCAAGTCGACTGGAGGTAAACGAAGGCATTGTTCTGCCAACATCGTACGAGAGCATTGACAACGCATAACTCTTTGCAAGTAGCCAAGTTTGAGAACAATAGACTCTCCTGCAGGACTTGTACGGAAGCCGAAATATCTGGCGGTCTGTGTGTTGTGTAAGGGTTAGACCGACATCTCTCTCAAGGCATCCCGTGACGCTGTCAACTCCGTCGGTGTGGGCGCTGTGTGAAAACACGAACATCTCTCGCAAGATATTCCATGACACTATCGATGCCGTCGGTCTCGTGATGTGTTTAGAGGCATCACATATGGCGAGTCATATTGTCTTGTAGGACATGACTAGCCTGGGTTACTGGTCTTTTCATTGGTTATGCCGTCAAACTGCCGTCGTTGCTGCCCGCTTGCGAGTTCACTTTGTGGGTTGCATTGGCTGACGTTGCTGCAGGTTTGTGTTTGTTGATGGTTGACAATAACTTACCACGAATTGTCTAATGGGCCTGAAGGCTGCCAAACCGCTCTAGCGCTGCATTAGTCACTTGTCCTACAGGTTGTGTTTGTCTATGACCAACGACCAACAACCAGAACAAGAAGCTCTAACCCCGCCTGCAGTACCACGCTACTGATCTACGGCAGTCTCTCTTATGTCTCGTTGTAAAGAATAAGAAGTTCAACACGCGACATTGACGAATGGTTTAATAAGGACAAAGATTAACCTAGCATTTATTTTACGTCTTTCCGATTCAATTGCTACTTGCTGAAATCACAGCAATGCTGAACAATATTATTTCCCGGGGCACTACAGCTCCAGAAGCCATTGCGGTTGTTGACGGGTCTCGTTCTGTCTCTTATGGCGAACTCGTAAACTCAGCCAAAACTATTGCACAATTCCTACAGGAACGCGGCGTCAAATACGGCGAGGCTGTAGGGATCTTGTTCGATGTTGATCATCGTCAGGTTATCGCGCAGTTAGCCATTCTCGTGGCTGGTGCAACTTGTGTTCCAATCTCCCCTACAGCGCCATCTCATCGTATTGCAAGCATGCTGAGCGATTCCAATGCGCAGTTCGTCATTTGCGACGAGAATTCGACCTTCTCTTCTGAGGGTATCACTCTTCTCCATCTCAGCGATGGACTAGCCTCAGAAATATCCACCGATGCAACGGCGTACCCTGGTTCCTCGTGGAGTGAATCACATCGTACGCACATCCTGTTTACCTCTGGCTCAACTGGTAAACCTAAGGGTGTGCAGATCAGCAGCTCTGCCATTATGCACCTGTCAACCAGTACCCCAGTAACACCATTGTACCCCAAAGATCGGGTGGCTGCTTTCAACGACCCTGGTTTTGATCTCAGCCTTTTCGAAGTCTGGGTGACTCTGCTCAGCGGTGCCACTATCGTCATCATTCCAAAGGTGGTAGTAGTTGATTCTACCGTACTAAAGAGCTATCTCGAACGTCACAGCATCACCATCATGATTATGCCTGCTGCCCTTTTCCACATCATCGCCAAGTCATCGCCCGACTCTTTTCATAGTCTTCGACACCTTCTCACTGCAGTTGATGTTGCCAATAAGATAGCCATGCGCGCTGTTCTTGAGCACAGCCCTCCGCAGCATCTTTGGAACACGTATGGCCCGACTGAGTGCACCACCCTGGCGACTATGCAAGAGGTATATGTGAAAGAGACACTTTGTGATCGGATTGGTATTGGACATTCTATTGGCCAGATGAAGATTCTCCTCATAGATGAATCTCACCAGGTCATTCGCGATACAGAGCAGCGGGGCGAGATCTGCATTGCTGGACCTCAACAAACACTCGGGTATCTGAGTCAACAAACTCCCGATGAGTCGATATTCATCAAGTTCAGCACCCGAGTACTCAATGGTGCTATTGGGGACACGTACAATGACTATAGCGACCCTCACACTCGGTATTACCGGACTGGCGACGTGGCCGAATGGAGAGATGACGGCGGCCTAGATTTTATCGGACGCAGAGACAACCAATTGAAGCACGGGAGCTTTCGAGTGGAACTTGAAGAGATTGAGAGAAATCTCCTCGAAAGCGAACTTGTTCAATCTGTCATTGTCGTGAATCGGCCAGCACCAGATTCCGATGGTGTTGCGGTTCTAGTCGCGTTTGTCGTGCCCTATGACAATGCCACTACCGAAGCACAAGATCTGGTATATTTTGCCCGGAACACACTACCTCATTACATGGTTCCCGACAGGTTTGAAATCGTTGAACATCTTGCTGTGGACTCCACAGGCAAGATTGATCGTCGTGCCTTTTCCGAGGGCCTTGCTAAAGCGGGACCAACCACCCCCAGTTCGATCCTCACGAATGGGAATGATTCCGCTTCATCAAGAAAGGCTACGCTGAAGTCTATGTGGGAGTACATTCTGGGAGTTTCGCCTATCCAGGATGATGACGACTTCATGGCTCTGGGCGCCACCTCACTCCAAAACGCTGCTCTTATTGCTCGTATTAAGAAGCAGTTCGGACGCCTCATCTCCATGCATGACTTATACTGCCATTCGCGCTTTGCAAGCTTGCTTCATTTCCTCGAGAGTGATGCGAAGTCCATCACTGCGCCTAACGATGCGGATAAATGGATCAAGGACGTCGACATGGTGGATGACATCGAGGAGACGCCAAACTGGGAAGACCCAGACCAAGGTAAGATATTCTTGACTGGTGCGACTGGCTTCGTTGGTGCCTTTTTACTTGACGAGCTTCTGCGTCACCCAAATGTCAAACAGGTGGCTTGCCTTGTTCGTCGCCTTCAAGCCAATATGCAGAAATACGATCTATGGCCTGATGACTTTGCTTTGACTACCAAGATCATGGTATTGCCAGGGGATGTCACGAGTCGAGATCTCGGTCTTGGATCGGCCAAGTTTGACTGGCTTGCCAATTGGTCTAGCGCCATCTTTCACCTCGCTGCCAAGATCAATTTCTGTGACTCTTATCATGAGCACTACGATACCAACATCCTTGGAACTCGCAACATGCTCCGTCTTGCTGCACGAGGGCGACGGAAGACATTTCACTACGTGTCTAGCATCGATACATGGGGTCAGACAGGATACTTTCTAGGCACCAAGAGGGTCCTTGGAGACGAACCTCTAGGTCCCCATATACAAGGTGTGAGATTCGATGTCGGTTATTCCCAGAGCCAGTGGACGGCTGAGGGAATGGTACGACGCATGAGAGATCGTGGCTTCCCAATCGTTATTTATCGGCCCGGCTTCATCATTGGCCATTCTGTCACGGGAGCGAGTAATCCCAACGACCTTGTTTCGCGACTCATTTCCAGCTGCATCAAACTTGGTGCATGGCTCAAGATCGATCTCGATCCGGCTTATGTTACAGTTGACTATGTCGTCAAAGCCATGCTACACATCTCACGCTCAACAAAAAATATCGGGAGGTCATATTGCCTTGTCGCACCAAACATTGAAGATTCAGTGTCTGTGAACAAGACTTGCTCTCTTCTCTGTCAAGCTGGCTACAGAGTTGAACTCACAAACTACCCTAACTGGATTACACAATTATCTGAAAAGATACTTCCTGATGATCCTCTTGCGCCTGTCATGCCACTGTTGGAAGAAAAGGTATTGGGCAACTTTACAAGACTTGAGGTAAGCCAGCATTCTCCGATCTACGACTCGACAAATGCTATCAAGGCTCTTGCGGGTAGCGGTATTCATTATGTGGCACTGAACCCAGATATAATTAAGCGATTTATTGCATTCTGGAACAAGAAGGGGTTTTACTCAGTTTAACGAGGATAGATAGCTTGGGGATTAGCAAGTCAATCCCATCCATTCTTATCATAGTCACCTTGCAAGGGAATTTCACTTGGCAAAATATCTACAAGGCTGGTGGAGTCGATGCCAAACAGTGTCTAGCGTTGCGAATTCCAAGCGTGGCATTCACATCTTATGTATATCCAATTCCAATTGTCGTTATAGCGCCTTCTCTAGACAAGGCAGTAGTCAAGACGGCAAGCAACTGCAGTTATACTATGGTGTTTTCTGGATGCTAGTTATTGCATTAAGATATGATATAGGCTTTAAGTCTCTTGCAATCCCCAGATCTGGATAATATATCTTAGAAAGCTTAGATATAATTCTGCAGGGCGTTCCCATATCACCCTCATCTCAGAGAGGACTGTGAAAAGGACTTTCAAATTCCTTTGGGCATAATCAACGACCTTTCTATCCTGCGCTGTCATATTTAAACATTGCACAAGCGCGGCTCGAAGAATGTGATGCAGAGCAGAAGGTGGCAAATCTCTAGTCACCCCATCGCTAATTAACCTCCTCAAGATCTCGGCCACTTCATCGGCAGCGGTAGTTACACGTTCAAGTGGAGTGGTGCCATCATTGAACTTGTATGCCGAGGAACCATCAAGAAATGGCCGAAACAGATTGATTATAGCTGCACAGTATGCTATCCAGAACGCGGATTGCGGCAGTGATGGTGTACTGAATTTAGTGGTTTCCAGGTGCTTAATTTCGTGTCTAAATGCATTCATGGCGCCTAAGGCTTGAAATATCTGTGCCTCTCGCTGGGCGATATGTAGCTTTTCAAAGCCTGGCATATAGCTATTAAGAAGTAAGTACCAGATCAGAGGGAAACAGTTAAATATCTTACATGGCGTCGATATAAGTCTGGTTCAAACGTAGCAACTGACAGTTGCATCTAAAATACAGTGCTGAATGGTCATTGGAGCTGAGAAAACCGTTATCGGGGAGAGGTATGTTTTCGGCGTCCCATATGATAGCTCGTGGGATTCCGAGACCTGGTGTTGATGTTCTAGTTGAGGATGTTTGTCAGAAGTGATCTAGCAGATGAGAGGAATTGTAAGGGACGGTGGGGTTATACCGTTCGGCCAGTAATAAGGACCAGAAAGTCTTGATTTTGTCTTGGCGACTCATCCTACTTTCTGTCTCAGAGCCGGGGTTAAATAGACTTTCCAAGTAAAGATGCGTAGAAAGCCCCAAAGCCATATCTGGTATAATTAGCTGGCTTCACCAGAGATCAGATACAATTTGACATACATTGATATGCAAAGCCATCTGATCGATGAAACAAGGTTTGCTTGAACCAAGCAAGAATAGACGTCGCCTTAATAACATATACAGATGGTCTCAGGCTAAAGCACGACTGAGCCCGCATCTCAGCGTAGGCTAGCAACGCACTTTCTAAATCCGCTGAGATATTTAAGCAGTGGGCTGAGACAGAAAATATCGCACTATATAGAAACTGCAGTTCTTGATCATTCTCGGGGAATGAGGGATAAAATAAAACCCATGATGGGTCGACGAACAAGTGGTATATGTTGATGGAATTGAGGAAAAAGTCCATCATCCGGTTCTTCAGCTCCACCTGCTGACTGAACATCTGTACCAGGGTAAGAGCTCTATCCCTAGGCATTTGGAAAGAGGTTCTTGAGTTAGTTGCAAACATTTCGATTACTGAAGGCTCTGGAGTAGTGAACTTGCCAGGGCCCGAAAAGATTAACTTCTCGCCTGGCAAAGCCGACCATCTCCAGTTGAGGGAGGAGAAGTTCTCCAACGCAAGTTCGGACCTTTTTACACAAGACCGGCTGTTTGGTAGAAATCCGGGTAGTAAAAGGTCTGGGGAACCCTTAATTATTGCATGTGTCTGTTCTAGCGATGAACCAGTATGCATCCCTTTAATAATAGTTGAGAGATGCCGAACTTGAGCCTCAAGGGATTGAATGTAAGTGCCATCACGCCGTACAATACTACATGGGAGTACCTCAGTCAGCTGAGGATTTTGATGTCAGCATAACAAGACATAATTACCTAAATGGTTTCTGACGTAGCGTCCAGCTGCAGTCGGCTCCGCGCAATTTGCATGGAGAACATTGGGGACTTTGGCCATCGCACTAACAACCGTGACGTGTTAGTGAAAATCCAGATATAGGGGGGGGGGCATGACGAACCTTGCGTTTCTTTTGCCTGCATGGGATACATGCGGAATACACCCGCTCGGCTTTCTCCATGTTGGATGATTGGAATAGCCTGTCTTTGATGTCTTGGGCGTAGATAGCTCCAAGTCTGGTTTTTTTCCCATCGATGAGAGCATAAAGGAATGTGCTGTTGGCTGAAAAACAACGGTTTGTAAGAATAATTGTTGTGTGAGAGGAAGACGGAAATAGGAAGTAGCAGTAGCGGCGGATAAGTTTTATCCGCGGCATCGTCGGCGTGGGCCTCACTCCTACTTGTTCTAGTCTAGGCTCGGCCAAAAGCCTGATTTCAGCTACTAATTAGCCGGCGCCAGAAGAGGATCCACCAACTTCAACACTGAATACGTGAATGTCGAGTCAACATAGGCCCAAGCGCGGCTGATAAGCAGTAGTCCGAGATCCCGTTGAATTTTCATGATACGGGGCTCCTGATAGTCATCATCGCCACGCGGTATAAAATATGGGAAATTATTAACTCAAGCGGTTTCCCAAAATTAATATAAAGGAGCCGCTGTGGTAACATCACATTTAGCCCATAGCACACTTCTTTATTGCCTTTGCCTTAAGCATTTGTGTCTTATAAATCACTTATCGAGACCCCATAGCTTGATCAATCATGAGTCCCCTTAGCACCACAGACGTGCTAATTGTTGGAGCCGGTCCCATGGGCCTTCTGACTTCCATCGGTCTTGCCAAGCAAGGCGTTGACACGATAGTGCTGGGTGAGCTTAACCCGGAAATAAATATTTCCATCATTACTTGTGTCTCCTAACCACATGCAGACAAGCGAGAGCGCAACGTACAAGTTGCCGCTGGTCGCGCCACTACGCTCTATCCTCGCTCTCTGGAGTTACTCGAGCCCCTAGGTGTGACGGGCGACCTGCTTCAGAAGGGATTCGTGGCCCGAAGTAGCGTCAACTTCAAAAACGGCAACAGAGTCAACGAACGTGGCTGGAACGATATGTTTGATGCCGCCAAGCTTAGCTACCATGACTACCTTTTGAACATTCGTCAATGTAACTCTGAGGAGGTCTTTCTCTCTCACTATGAGAAATGTGGCAAGTCTGTCTGGTACGGCTGGAAATTAGTGGCTTACAGCATCGACACCTCTCTCAACGATGGATTCCATATCACTGCTACCCTTGAACATCCGACCAAGGGTCAAAGTCATGTTCGCAGGTATTTATCCCAGCCCGAGTGCCTTGAAGCGACTGCTAATTGGTAAAAGCAAATATCTGCTCGGTGCTGACGGCGGTGCGTCATCTGTGCGGCAACTAAGCGGTATCACTATGGACTTCCAATCGACCAGCTATGAATGGATTCGAATCGATGGGAAGATTTCAACAGATATGCCAGGCGAATGCCTCGGATTTGCCTCGATCGAAACAGAGCATCATGGGAACGTCTTATGGGTCAAGCTGGATGGAGACGCTCACCGCATCGGATATGCTTTGACCCCACATCTTCTGGCCAAGTATCCTAATGGCATTACGGAGACTGAAGCCGTCCAGGAAGCCATCGATTCTGTCAAGCCTTTTAAGCTGCATGTTGATAGACTTGACTGGTGGACACATTACAAGTAAGCAAGGGACCCTCTTTGGAGCCAATATTTCCCCGGGGGAGCTGGCTAACTCTCTGACAGGATTCGACAGGGCGTTACACAGTTGTTCCGAAAGGACAAGTATGTCCTGCTCGGTGGAGACGCTGCTCATATTCATTCATCCGGATTTGCCCAAGGCATGAATACTGGCATCCACGACGCCACTAACCTGGTCTGGAAGTTGGCTGGAGCCGTCAAAGGCTGGTACAAAGACTCAGTCCTCGACACGTACCATACGGAGCGACATGCAGCAGCGACACGACTGATCTCAATTGATACAGAAGCCTCGAGTGTCATTTCTGGTAACATCCCTGCACGATACGAGTCCCAGGGACTCACCGCCGATGAGATTTTGTGGAAAACCTGGACCGAAAACATCAGCTTCAACGTTGGGCTGGGTGTTTCGTATGCCAAGTCAGTCCTTAATCAAAATCCTCGTGATACTTGTCTTCAGACTGGCAAACGTTGTCCTGACGCCCTAATTCGTGGTCCGGGAATCAACGTCCCTCTGCGTCTCTACGATGCTCTTCTGCAGGACGGAACCCCTGGTCGTTGGAGTATCGTGGTCTTTGCCGGTAACACCGCCTTAACCAAGAATGGTTTCCAAACCGTTAGAGACTGTTTGGAGAGCGTTACAGACTCACATAAAGACTTGATTCGCCTTGCAACCATCATGGCTGGTTCTGCTGGTAGTGCTTGGTCCGCTCTCGGTGGCCCTGCTCTCGGTAATTGCTACTTTGATGGAGATGGAAGTGCCCATGCACAATATGGAATAGACCTGGCTGCAGGAGCCATCGTTGTCATTCGTCCTGATACTATCCTCAGCTTTGCAACAGGCTTGAGCGATGCTTCTAGTATAGCAGATTACTTTAGCCAGTTTCTCAATTAGGCTGAGATAATAATCTTATATCTGCGACATTATACCAAGTCTCTACTTAGCTCAACCATCCTGCAAACATAACATGTGTCAGGAAGCGCATTGTAACTTCTATCGCATATATTACAATGCTCCTGATGTACCTCTTTTATACATAGCCTAACTTACCTTTCACTTTATCACAAGCCATACCTTCATGGCTCATTATGAAAGATCACATACCGCACACTACCTTGTCTAAAATAGCTGCTTACTCCTATGTCTCTGCGGCTTGAAAACTGACCCAGTTCGTATCGTGACTCAAGATCTTCATGAGCCGAATATATTTCTCTGTAATCTCCGATTCAGCAAGCCAACAATGAGTCTCAGTATTACGACTAGATTTGACGGTCTCGCCGCTCGCCAGGCAATAGTTGACGCCTCATACTACATTATGTCTGCTCTCGATGAAAGCCATGTATACCTGAGCCGGTATGACATCAGACATCATGCTTACCATTAATAGTAAGGACTACTATGGATTCAATAACGCCAATGCACATAGCTTCGACGATATTGGAGCCATGCACACGACTCATTTCATTACCAATACCGGTATTCACATCGATGTTACAGGGCCATGGCAGTAACAGCGAAACTAACGGTGAACATACTCGTCCAGCATTATCTGCAGGGCTAGGGACTCATTTCGAGTCAGGGAAGACTAATTGGATGAAACAAGCAAGTTATGGTGTTGGTGAGGGATGGCAAAGACGGAATATGGAAGTTCAAGAAGTGGCACATGGAGGCCTTATGGAGGGAGAGGGACATGGGTTCTAAATCCAGATGCTTGAACTATAGCTTATTCTTGGAAGCTTATAACAGCATTGTGTCTGTTGCTTAGCTCTGGTTTCCACCTGCTGGGTATTTAATACTACTTCTCTCCAGTTCCTGTTGGTTTTTAACAGCTTCCTTAACATCATCCCAGCTGCCATCAGCTAACCAACAAGCTTGCAAGTCCAAGTCGCGCAGGGTCTCCGAGTGTCGAGCAACCAAGGACTTCAGCTCCATCACTGTAAAAGGTTGATTATGCAGGCTTAGAGACCGAAGCCGTGGCCACCAAAGGTTGGCTGGCAGAATATCATCTAAGGAAACAGTTGGCCGGATGTTGAGCGGAGGATAGCCAATAAACTCAACGTGCATATCCTCAAGATGAGGTGCACTCATCCATGACTGAGTGATAGAGCAGAGTGCAAGCATTTCGTGTTTAGGATTATTCTTGAGTTCATAGCTCCGCGCCTGGAAATCCACATACAGTGCTAGTTTAGTGGTTTGGGCGACTAATTTCTTTACTCCCGACTGTTGCGATGGTGATAGGTGCCAGGCTTGCATGCTAGGGGGAGGAACCAAACGGAGACGAATTATTCCAGGTCTCAGACCTTTGTCTGCAAGCTCGGAGCACAATGTTCCGATCATCTCAACCGGTGGAGTCGCAGTATGAATCGTCTTGAATGAGCCACACCATCTTGACTTGCGCAAGATAGGGCTGAAGTGTTGCAGTATTGTATGATCATATCCAGTATGAGCAAAGTCAGAAGCATCCAAATGTTCCATGCCTCCCATATTTCTTATATCGTTTAGCTCAAATGATACCAGGTTGGACAAGGAACTCAGAGCGGCGCATAGCCGAGTGATGTGGCTTCGGCCTTCTCGAATCTGCTGCTGATCATTGTATAATTCTTTGTACATATCATAAAGCTTGAGAAATAGCCTTTGGGTGGGCGTTGGTGATTCTTCGTCAACTTGGTCACTGAAAAGTTGTTCGAATTCAGGCTCTGTCCTCCAAGCCATATTTGACAGCCACCGGGATTGTTCTTGCGTGAGAGGATACTTATTCCGGTATGATCTCGACCTCTGCATGGTCTCTACATGTCGAAGCAGTCTGGCTTTGGCCTCGAGCATGAACAGTGGCCGATTGCAGGCTAATTCGGCTTCGTAGTAAGACGTGACTATGCGGACGCTTTGCACTGACTTGCTGAAAACAGGGTGGTTGCAAATATCCTCTAAACGATTAAAGGATTTCGAGGTAAGGCAAACAGAAACTTGGGTGAGCAGCAATGGCGATGCAGCATTGTTGAAGTAATGTGAAACTAAGCGGCACCCTTTAATCGAACATGGGCCATTTTTCTCGTTGCGCACGAAGAAAAGAATATTCCTCAGAACTTCTGAAGGGAGCGATTGAATGTCTGTTGCAGATGGCATTTTTGATAAAGTTGTTGGAGTGAGATTCTAGTAGAGGGAAATAGATGCAAAGTAGCCATTATGTCTGTTATAAGCTGCGGGGTCAAGGATCATCACTGGTTATGTACTACGAAGCATAAGCCTCAGTGATTGGTTGATTTGAATTGGGGCAAGAGCCTACATGAGTCACTTCACCGTGTTTGCTGCTACAGATCAACAAATACAGGGGTTTTAGTCGTGTCTATCAAGCATTCATTACAGATTAATACGTATTTCTAAATTATTGACAGGTCTTGGTGAAGGCATATTACAAGTGCTTGCATGCATTGTATTCTCCTTCAATATAACAGACAAACCCATCCTCGTTCAATGTCTCCAGAACCTATTAAAATGACGTCAGACATAGAACCCGGATACCTATTGCATCATCACATCAATCGTGTATTACCATGATAAACTTACTAAAATCCCCCTGCACCTTTCATTTTCATTACCATGCCATAAACACCTTTGACCAAGCCCATAACAGTCCCTGGGTTTCCCATGTATCCTTTTCCAGGCTTCCCCTCAGCATCCCTCCAAATGCCATCTTCAGCAACCCTACCAAACCTCTTTGTGTTCTGGTTCCTATCAATACATTCTCTCCACTTCTGACATATCTCCACGCTATCTACCATGAGATTGATCTCCTGACTGTGAAACCAAGATTGAGTGTCTTGATTACCACTTCCTTGGATTCCGACACTGCCATCGACGATCAAAAGCTTAATATGACAGGAGCGAGCTTTGAATGAGTGATGGATGGGATGGTCTTGGTCCTTTCCAACGTAGTTGTATATGTGCAAGAGTTTACGTTCAGGGCCATCTTTGCCGAGGGACGAGACGAGGTTCTGGGCGATTTGGTCATTTGTTCCGCCTTGCCCGGGGATCATTTCTCCTGGATCGTTGTAGCCAAAACATACATAATATGTGACTTCCACTCCACGCTTCAGTGCTTCTTTGAGCGCTGGAATCAACGGGGCAGCGTTCAAATCCGGCGTCTGAATGAAGATGTTTTGTTTGGCATTCCTGATCAATGATAGCCATGCTTCGTTTTGAGGCACGTGGACGCTTTTTGAGTCCATAGCCCCATATGGTGGCCGAGATACAAGTGCCATCGGGACTGGCTTCCCATCACCGATGGTAGAGATGTATGGAGTCATTTCGTCTCCCGCGTCAATTTCTGGTCCTGTAGGCTCGATTGGATGCTCAACTGCAAGATTTAGCTGGCGATTTGCTGCCTGGAGACGTGATTCTCCCTCTTTCAGGGCGTAACATGACTGCATGCGCCTGACCTCTCCCTCTATGTCACTATCGTAGTGAGGGCGATCGGGGAAATGCTCCGGTAGGGGTTTTTCATTGTCAGCTTGTATGGTAGTAAAGCCTTGAAGATGTGAGGCATGGTTTTCCATCGTAGTGGAACTATCGGCTGTGGGATGCAATCTGCCCTCAGTTTCTGGTGTCTGGAGACATGGAGGGTCTGGGTGAAGAGCATTTTGCCAAGTTATCAGAGCAGTGTCGTATATGCTATCGACTATTGGTCCTTCAACATGGACCATCATCTCGAGATTATCGTTGTCTTCGGTGTTGTTACTCATGACAGCAGCAATTTTGCGGTCCACGACGCAGAACTTGGCGTGCAGAGTACCCAAGAATATTCGATGCAAGCTGACCACCTCAAGGTCGACGTTTGGAATCTGCTCGGGCGAAGGCAAATCGATCGTCTTGGAGGTATACGACTTTGGTTTGACGAACTGATGCGGGTTTACAGCGTTGCATGGTCCTGGCTTGTCATACATGATCTTAGCCACCACTCGTCTCCCTGCCTTTCCGGCTCGCTTCGAGAGTTCGATCAGAGACCCTTTAACTAGAGCTTGCGCTACTGACGGTGCCCAGGAGCATGTAATGAAGAAAACTTCCTTCTCAGCCCGCACGATGAGATTCGAGCAGTGGCGCATGACATCGGCAAGGGGAGCAATGACTGTGAGAGGCATAGTTCCATGAGAGCCCATTAATGGCGGCGACACGACACCTGCCATTGGGTCTTCATTCAGGCACTGTAGAGAGTCGGAGAAGGCTTGGAGAAACAGCGGACTTGGGGTCGCCGGGCCCCAACGACCGCATTGGAGGGCTGCTTCGATGGCATTTTCACTTTTCTCCGTGCCTTCTTTGGCTGAGATTTTGTGATGCAGTCCGTGCTCGTGATGACCATATAGCTTTTTGATGGCATTTCCTGGTGTCTGGCTTGGATCGCTTGCCAAGACGGAGCTCACCGTTTCTTTTACTTGGCATAAGTCGTAGACGTGTTGCGAAACCATTTCGACAGTTGCTACTTTTTTGACATGAAAACAAATGGCAGAGTCATTCACTGATGGCCACGGTCTCGTCAGAACTATTTAACTAGCCCAATTGTACAAACGTCATTTGGTCAAGGTTGCACACTCCTCAAAGCTATACTTCCCGTTTCTTACCCAGCTTTTGTCTTATTCCCTGGCTAGTGGAGGTGACATCGCCTAGGCTTACGTACCTTTGTGCAGAATTCCTGATTTAAATGGGCACGTAGTACCTTGGAAACAGAGCTCTTGGCTATATGACAGCATGTAGCTTCTGCTCCGCCGCAAAGGTCTAGCTCAAAGCTAAACCCGGGATTGCGTGCCGAGACTAGTTACGGCACACAACTTCCGGCCGGGTTAACCGGAAATACAGCAAAGAATGGTCATGACAACTCGTCGTCATGCCACTATGTTGAATGTCGACATCAGAGTTGCGGTTTTGTTATTGGCGATTGAAACAATATGAAAGGGGACACGGTATATTGTATATTACATATGAAATACCATTTTAGGGATAATAATTCCCACCTATAACTTCGAGATATTGCTGCACCAGACCAATCTGTGTTATGATTGGCAAATTGTAACTTTTGATCCACAACCCGGCATTACAATTTTTCCGTTTCTAAACGATTAAATCCAAACTCAGAAGGCGCGCAGATTGAGTCAGCTTTATGGGGCTAGCATAGTTAGTCGAGCTGATTCGCTACTGAATAATTTTAGATTGGCTTCGCTTCTTCTGTCAGACTACAGCCAATTGTTATGCCTCGCTTAAGCTGGGTGGACCACTTAGCTGGGCGAATTCTGGTGGTTTTCCTTCCAGACCTACCCGGTATTGCAACACAAATTGTTGAAATGGAAGCTTCTTGCGTTGCACATAATGAAATTCAATGTTTACAAGTCTCAAGGAACGAATCTTTAGCTTTGGTTTTGTTCCTGAGGATATACAGAGTGATCTCGCCGTCCAACTTAGCATTTCTCGCGTGTCTGCTTTTATGTCGTATTCCAGAAATTGTTGCACACAAACTCTTGAGTTTTTTTGCAGTGTAATTCCAATCTGTAAATTCACCACAATCGCACTATTATAAATAAATGAGTAGCATTTAAACCAGACCTATAAAATTGAAGTCCATAGTGACGCATCCAAGTCCCAAAGCATCGGAACTGGATAAGGCATTGTCTGCTCAAAGGCATCCAGGTTGAACTCAAACATGTTGTCAGTATGGTGGGTCTGGTGAATTTCTTGCTGGTTGGCATTCGAGGTACGTTGAAGAGCAGGAGATTCTACATCAATAGAATCAACTAGTTGTGCATTCAAAGATTGCACGGCGTAGTGAGCTTTTCTGTATAGTTCTTGGCAGACCTTTTGGACTTGGGTGAGGTATGTATTGCCGCCATATGCCTCGTCTAGTATTTTGAAGATCTGCATGACGTCACCGACTAAACGCATGTCATTCGCCGCAGCCTCGTTCACGGGGTTCCGAATTGCCATGATGCAGAGAATAACAACAGCGCTCATAGGTATTGGAACGATGTCCCTTCAGCCAATTAGTCATTGATCAAAGCTGTGTCCTTATGGAACTTACCAGTGGAAGCTCTTCCATGTGACTGGTATAAGCATGCTTAGCTCAATGATGCATCGGGACGCGTTGAGGCAATTTTCTATGGAGTCTCTCATCTTCCCAGGGAGGACTGATAATTCCGGGTGATTCGGCGATACCCAATAAGTCAAGCTGTGCGCGCGGCTCACAACGATGACGGCATTGTAGTAGGAAAAGTACAACCGCATCAACCCATAATGCTCGCACCTCCTAGTAGAATCATCAGTGAGAGACGGCGCAAATTCAGTACGCCAATTCTCCAGCTTCTGTAGCAAGTCCGCCACCGAATCTGCAATGCCATTCGGTGGACCTTTGCCTGAATGTAGATCTTGGTAAATCGCACTCTGAATCACGGCAAGTTGTATCTGACCTTTGAAGAGGTTTACTTCATGCCCCTCAACAGTCTTGATGATTTCCGTTTCATCCAAGGAGCGCACTGGTGGGTCAACGTAGGCAGCGTTGAGATCGTGACAAGGGGGCCTTCCAGTTCGCAGACACAGTTCCCGGTCTAGACAAATCGCGATCCAAAAGACCTTCTTTCTCATACTCCCTTCTGCTGGACTTACAGACGGGTCCTGGCTCTCGACATGTATGCCTATTGAATGTGCAAGACGCACAGCGCAACCAACGAGCATGAAGCTGGGCTGCGGGTTTGGTGTTCCGATAAAGAACCAGGCAATGGCTAGCAGAGCTTGGACAGAAAACAATTGTGTACTACGCATGAGAACATCCCATGTTCCGGCAAGTGCATTTGATGCATAGGCCCAGGCTCGATCCTCTGCTTCTACCGATTGAGCTGCCTCCGCCCGACGACGCTGTGCGAGTGCAAGAACAGAGTTGAGCGAAACCCACCACGCTGGACTCTCAGTGCATGTGCCCGAGTACTGTTGGCCTAGTAAACACATAAATGCTGGTGCATTGAAGCATGGGAAGACTGGGTGTTCATGAGTGAAGAATTCGCTGACAAGGGAAAATGCCTCTGTCCAAGAGGGAAGAGGCTTCAGGACTCGCTTTGTGAACAGAGGCTCGACAGACGGGTGTGTCCATTTGGACCACGATTCTGGCGTATGCTGTCCTGATTTGCGTGGAGTAGCGGTGGACACCAGGGATATACCCGATGGCGGACCTGTCGATATATTGAATAAGCTCATGAATATTCAAGCAACTATGCAAACCTACCAAAGTAGCGCATATCTTCATTACCACCAACTATCGTCTCCCTAGGGCTTGTATCTGTCGCTGTCAAGGTCTGACCGGGGCTTGGCTCTGTAAAGCTGTGAAGCTCATGATGGGCTTCAATATGTTGCTGAGGATGAGGGACCGTTCGGGTGACTACAGAGTCTGACAACAAGGTTGAAGAAGCATTGACTACTTGAAGACAAACTCCTTCAATTGGATCACCTGTCGAGCTTCGAGATGATATTTTAGATCGCCGTTGACGCGGGTCGGGCTTGTCAACATCTGCATAGTGGCAGTCATTCCCGCAACCCCGACAACGTCCACAAACTGGCCGGGTCCCGTCACATCGGACCTTGCCTTTTCGACAATGATCGCATGCCTAGCACCGCGGAATTAGTCGACAATCGTACTCTACCATCACAGCGAATGATAAATACCTTTGCAAGGCGACGTCGACGGTCGCCGCGGTTGTTCATTTTCCGGAGTTTAGAAGTCCATAAACAAGAATTCCGGTTTATGAGGGATGGAATACCCATTTTACGACCCATGACCACTGTAAACTTTAATTCTGATAGGGCTTGTTTTGTGCCTCGGCTTCTATTCGTTAGTGCGCAAAACTCCGAGACTTTCGTGTCATAGTGTACCAAAACTCCGGCCGGGTCCACCAAACGGGACAAGGGAATTCCTGTATGTGAATTTCCATTAGATAGATCTAAAGTGTGAGAGAATCGAGGGCGGGCGAAGAAAATGAGGCGATTTCTATTTATGTAGCTAGGAAGAGTCCGCAGGTAAGCGAAATATGGAATGGGTGCAGCACAAGACCATGGCGAGATGGATTCTAGATAATATATATTAATGGGGTCTAGATGTGGCTGCGTTGCAAGATAGAGACAGGCGCCTCAACAACCCTATCCCTGAAGTAATCAATGAAACCCTTTCCGAACCCATCCAACCGCTTTGAGCTGCTGACTCCACGGCCGAGGATACCATATACAACAAAGTGCACAGCGAAGATCTTGGGAAACTCAACACGCTCAATGGAAAACTCTGGGCGCCAGTCTTCTCCCAAAAGCTCCTGTACCTTGGCTCGAGACATGTACGAGCGCAGCCAGTCCCACTTGGCCTGAGTGTCAACAAACAGCCCAAAGTTCAAATTGGCACCCTTGTCCCCAGAACGGCCGAGGGCGATACTGCCCAATCGCACTTCGAGAACTCCTCCGTCAAGAGGGGTTGGTAATTTGGTGTCATAAGACGCCCTTTCTCTCATAATCTCAAACCGAGGAGGAGACGTAGTATTGAAAGATTTCGTGGTGCCAGTTCCGTCTACAAAATGGAACTTCTCTTCAAGTTCAGCTTGGGGCCAAAGAGCTGGATAATATGCCAGATATGGACGAGGCATAGCAGAGCGGAAGTCCAAAGAGCTGTGGAATCCTACCTGCAAGTTAGAAAACATGACATTATTTCCACTCGTCGGATAGGCTAACCTGAGTAATGCCTCAATGAGATGTTTCCAATGGCCATCATAATTGCCTGAAGCGCTTCTGCCTTGGTTGACTGAGCGAAAATGCGGAGATACACGGTACCGCTGTTTTGGTTCTCAGGATTCACAGCTGGAACACCAATCCTCTGGAACTCGAGGAAGTCGAGATGACTGAGCTTCTCTTCACCAAGATGAAAACGAACTTGTTTCTCAAGAAGGGCAAACTTTTGCTCAAAGTTGTGGCCCGTTGCGTTGAACAAGGCCTGCATTTCGTAGCCTCCTTTGTAAAAGAGTGCGAGCTTCGTGGTATCTGGTGGTGGCGCCCCGCGAACTCCGTGAACACGAACTCTTTTATTCAAGTTAGCGACGCTGGCACGATTCGGGGCATCGCATACCTGTCTTGACCAAGTTGTTCCATCTCAATATCTTCGAGGTGGGCTTTCACATCACTGTTAATGTAAACATCGCCCTGCAACTCATACACGAGTTGAGCCTTGCACGTATCAACCGTGACCATGCCGCCTGTGCCCTCATGCTTCGTGATGACACAAGAGCCGTCTTGCGCAATCTCAGCAATCGGGAAACCCGGGTCAACAAAGCTCTCAAGATCAAAAGAGTCGAAGTCTGCAAAGTTACCGCCGGTGACATAGGCTGAGCACTCAATCAAGTGTCCTGCGACCAAGGCACCAGCCAGTTCATCGTAGTTAGTGCTTCTCCACGACCACCAGTACCATGCGCAGGCGATAACGGGGCTGGCATCAGAAGCTCGGCCGCATATGATGATGTCGGCACCGTTTTGAAATGCTTCATATATGGCGTGGGCACCGAGATAGGCATTGGCAGACACTATTTCCCGAGGGTCATCACCACCTTTGGCGAATATATAAGTCTCGGGAGTGAGGGTGACATGATCGTTCAAAGAATCAAGATGAGCCAGTGCGTTTTCTCGGTTTTGCGGCATGTGTTTGCCGAGCTTGGGAAGCACGTTATCACCAGAAACATAGGCTACCTTGAGATCGTAGCCCTTTTCGGCAACCTGGCAACAGTTTAGCCCAAGGCATTAATAAAAAGGCTATAAGAAAGTCTTACCAAAGCTGCTACTTTCACAGCTAGACCTTCAGGATTGAGTGCTCCACCGTTGATGGCAACTTTGATCCGCTTCTTTGAGATGGCATCGATCGAAAGTTCAAGCCCTTTCAATGCAGTAGCCTCGTAACCTGGATGTTGGCCTTTCGCATATGCCTCTGCATTATTAGCCATGTTGACCTCTAATTCTCGTTAGCAACGCAGGCTTTCTAAGTCTCGAGACCACAAGGCTTACCAGCAAGGTAGTCACCGGTGATGAAGTCGACATCTCCCAACGTAGCCTGCTTATACATCTCAATGGCGGGATCTCCTACGTAATCAACGGTCAGAGATATCTCGGCTATGTGTGACTTGTCGTACCATGGTAACCGGAACAATTAGCCACTCGTACAGACCTGATGCCAAATTCTCCAGCGCGCCATTCGCTGTTAGAAGCCATGGTGATTTTTGTCTCTGAACTACTTGTGCGAGGAAGTATGGTGTATTGTATTGTGTTGTCACCAGGCCTGCTCGAAGGGGGAGGGTTAAGAGGCGCTGAGTGTAAGTGATCTTTATATCACCCCGCAATGTCGGATGCTACAGTTCACAAGTCTCATACCCGAGACAACCGACAATCAGTACTCCGTACATGAGTATGTCCGTCAATTTATTTGGCGACATCATTGTTCCTACGTTTCAGTTCGCCGCGTTCCGGAGCCGCTATCAGAACTCCGGTGCAAGACTCCGGGAGTCGAATCAAGCCCCAAAACTCCGGAGGGACCCGCTAAGCGTTGCAAAGACATCATTGACTTGAAAGACAGTAGAATATGTTCGGTTTCAGTTTGCCGAGAGGGTTACTTAAACCCCCGGTTGCTACGTTGAATGTAGCATTCATTGACAACATCTGTTTTGCTGACCTGCATCAACCTTGAGTTTATTAAACCTTGTACAACGTCCTTCCCCAGAAACCGCCACTCACTCATCGACAACATGTCGAATTACTCCATTCTCACCGAAGCTACTCGAATTCTGAACGAAGTTCTCCTTCAGGATCCCAGATTACAGCTTCCAGACTCTTTTGTCAAAGCCGCTGAGAAAGTCAAGTTTGTTGGAGAAGACGACCAACCTTTCATCCTCACACCTCTCAAGATCACCGAGTCGAGTGCAGCCCTCAATGGCCTCGTGGCTACAGCTGCAAATGTGGTCGCAGCCGAGCGCTACGACATCAACTACCAGAATGTTGAAATCAACACGGACCTTGCAACGCTTTTTCTTGAATCAGTGCTGCTACCCACCATTGGGGGCAAGCACTTTACGCAGAACACCAAAATGCTAGCAGAGCTTGCCAAGATGGACCTCCATCAGATGAGCAAGCCAGTCAGGCGATATGCGACAAATGTGTATCGCACCAAGGATGGAAGATGGTATCACCTGCATGGGTCTATGAATGCTTTGCCTACAATGGAGATGTTGGGTGTCGAGGACTGTGACATTAGCACTGAAGAAGCTTTCGAGACCTATGTGAAAAAGGTTGCTCAATGGGACTCAAGCGATATTGAGAAAGTCGCAAATGAAAAGTACAAGCAAGCTGGCGTCATTTGCTATACGCCCGATGAGTTCTTCGCAAGCGAGCATGGTAAAATCGTGTCGGAAGAACCCTTATGGACATCGACTCGCGTCCCAGCACCGAAGAAACCTTGGCCCGAAGCCAAAGTCAGTCGGAGCTATATTCCGCTCGCCGGCATCAGAGTATTGGATTTATCTCGTGTCATCGCAGCTCCAGCAGTATCCAAGATCCTCAGTGTTCTCGGCGCCGATGTCATCCGTGTCTCGTGCAGCAGGTTACCCGAGTATGCGGCAACAATGCCGGATCTTCAGACTGGCAAGAGAGACGTTGATATCGATCTTAAGACAACTGAGGGACGACAAACACTTTCTGAGCTTATTAAAGACGCTGATGTTCTTGTTGATGGGTACCGTCCTGGTGCCTTGGCGAAGCTGGGCTTTGACTCCAGGTCTTTGCGTGAGTTGAGCCCAAGTCTGATCTATATGAGGGAGAATTGCTATGGTTTCAAAGGGCCGCTGTCGTACCGGTCGGGATGGCAGCAGATTAGCGACTGTTTGGTTGGACTATCATACTTACAGGGCAAATTTCTTGGTCTTGACGAGGCTGTTGTTCCACTTTTCCGTAAGTTCACCGTTTTGTCAAACCTCAAGGTCTCATTTCTGACATTGCATCAGCCAACTCGGACTATCAGACTGGATTAGTCGGAGCCGCGGCTGCCATCCAAGCATTGTTAGCCCGAACCCAAGAAGACGTCACCTTTGACATCGACATCAGCCTCACGCAGTACAACATCTGGTATTATCGTCTCGGCTCGTACACCGAGGACCAGCAGAAGGCTCTTAGAAGCCGTGACCTGCAGTTCAGCCCTCGCCATTTCGATGATATGAGTGCGCTCGTTGGAAAGACACATCAGTCGTTGCAAAAGATTCGCCCCGAGATATTTAAGCACCCCGAGTACTTCTGGGACATGAGTGGCAAGGAATACGGATTGGATGAGGACTTCAAAGTGCTGGCACCTGCATTCAAGTTCGAGAAGTCGAGCATTGGTTGGGATGTTCCGACCGGACGAAGAGGGCGGTCGAAGGCTGAGTGGGTAGAATGAGCATGCCAGGCGCTAGAGAGATGTTTGGATATCACGAGCGTCCTTGAGAGACGATACAGTAGATCGGACAGAATTGGGGAACATAACCGTGCTGAGATGGCCGAGAGCCATGCACTTGTGGCTCCGTCGGAGTGGTTATCAAGACAAGATATAAGACCCGCGGGCCCCGATCTGCAGCCTGCCAATTCGAGACTGCACAGGTTCTACCAATGAATGCTCATGTTGTTACCAAGAGTCCTCTAGTTATGGAACGGAGCCTCGGGCAAGGTCAGGATAATTCATGTGGGTCGCCACCTGGACCATGACGCCACTCAAGCCAACCGAGGCTCCGCGTGAAACTGTAGAGTTTATGCTGAAAAAGGCAAAGTAGAGACAGAGCCTCTTGAGACGACTTCCTTATGAGTACTAGACTTCAAAGATTGCGGGGTATGAAAGCGCCTTTGATTTGCTCCTCCTCAATCGAGTTAGTCATTTAGTAAAGTATATCTACCTCTTTCGATCTCATGATCCTTCAGCTCAATCATCATTCGAATACCAAAGCTACAGTCAAGATGTCTCAACTCTGGGCCAACGTAGTCGCTACATATGATCCCTTTACCATCGAGTTCGTGGGCAGCTGCCTCGTTCAAATCCTTTTCTGGTGGATTCCGTCAGCCGTTTTCGTTCTCCTTGATCGTGTTGCCCCAAGCTTTGCTGCGAGACACAAGATACAACCCCCACCAAAACAGCCCAAAGCCTCTGAGATATTGGATTCTGTCGTGATATCCTTGAGGAATCAGCTCATAGTCATTGGACTGCAATTGTCCCTAGCGTTTCTGGCAACACAGCGGAATATGCCACCAACATTCCAGGTCACAGCCTCACTACCATCTGCGACAAGCTTCGTAAGCGACTTTGCCATCTGCTTAGTTGCTCGAGAGGTCCTTTTCTACTATTCCCATCGACTGTTCCACATACCATACCTCTATCGTCGCGTCCACAAAATCCACCACAAGTTCACAGCACCAGTCGCCTTCGCCTCGCAGTATGCCCATCCCGTCGAGCATATTGTAGCCAACACGATCCCTATAGTCCTTCCGCCAATACTGCTCAGAACTCACATCTTGACCATGTGGGCGTTTGTAGCTTGGCAGCTTATTGAGACTGCGACTGTTCACAGCGGCTTCGACTTCTTTGGAGGGGCAGCTTATCGTCATGATCGTCATCATGAGCGTTTTGACGTCCACTTTGGAGGAATGCCTTGGCTGGACTGGCTTCATAGCACCGACGAACGAAAGAGGCTGGAGAAGAAGAATAAATGATTCTTTTATGATAGAACTATCTCTCCAAGATCTACATCCTGGAAACGAAGAATCAAGCTATGTATTTTGCCCATGTCAGATACCCCTTGAGATCGGTGTGAATGAGTATCGCCAAATGAGTGATGGGGATTGACACCGCGTTCGAATTGGCTACGGAACAGATTGGCGAGACACCAATATTCATCTGCATGAAGAAAGAACCCGAGCTTTCTCTGAGATTTGTTTGCTTCCACGGAGATGTAGTTGTCGGAGGTTGAGAATAAGTTACGACTGGACCAAACTCGAAACCAGTTACTCAGCCCTCGTGTAATAGGCAAGGATCTTGACCTTGGGTCTGGTCCATTCTGGTGATGGTATATAAGATTGTGGAAGGCTGGAATGTGTTAGTAAGACTGTTGCTGTTTTATTGTCATGTAACTTACCACTAGCAATAGCAAACAGATTCAATGGACTTGTCGTCTCGAAGACTTCACATCCACTAGTACCAACACCCTCACCCATAATCATGGTAATAGACTGAGCCAACGTGACCTTGCTGCACGCCAGTGATCTCTGTGCAGCAGCTTGGGTGCACATGAACCATGTCTCGGCATCTGGAGCATTAAAATGCTCATCCTGAGCCGCGAGGCCAAATTGCAATTCATCGATTACCATCCGGGGACTCATATCGTAGAATATCACGAATGCAGAGTCAAGAAGGAAGGTATATAAGAGGGTACGGATTAATTCCTCTCGCAATCCAAACGCTGTCCAGTGGTCATGGAGGCTGCGTGAAGCAAGGGATTCTTCCTTGCTTGTTCCAACCATCGCGAAGGGATACAGGGTGCGGGAAACGAAGACGATGTCAGGAAACCGCGTCCTTCGTGCTCTGAGTCTCATTTTTGTGTCACCCTCCCAATTCATGAGAAGAAGGATACCATAAGCCGCCTGCAATATGTCAAGGCGTTGACGAACCTGAGAATCCTGGCTGTCATCGTCTGTTTGAGCAATACTGTCTTCAATGAAATCCGGGTCCTGGAAGATCCAGTTCTCGACTGTCTCGAGCCACATCATTGCTTGATCATGGTACTTTCTGTCGGGACTCAAAGAGGCACCGATCAGTGACAGAGCCGCTATCAACTTGGGAGACTTTGCAGTGGGGTCAAATGTAGGTCTATGGAAGACGGGCCAGTTTGGATGCCAGGCTTGAAAGAACAAAGCCAAGAACAGCTCAACATTTCTTGGAGAAAAGAATCTTGAACAGGACAGTTTTCCTGAGTTAGACCAGTTTAGATCAGATACTTGAGATGATGCTTCAAAGGCACCTCTGACAATCTGTTCACATATGTTTGCCAATGAGTATTGTCCTGTCAGCCTTTGCTGGTGTTGGGGCTGTGTCTGTTGGCCTATAGTTACCAAAGGCGATACGACCGGGATTCCAGCAATGGCTACTGATTCGAGAGAGGGCTGGCTACCATATTGTAGGAGGCCAGAATGAGTCTTTGCCCTGGCGAAGATATTGTCGCAGTTGAACGAGTTGGCCAGACCATGGGAGGAAGTAAGTCTAGCAAGAAAGCGGAGACGCATACGAGGAAAGGTCGGCTTGGGTGTCACAAGCGACAGCGATGGGCTATCATGGGAGACAGGCCATTCATCTTGTGGTAGATATGAGCCAGATTGTGATCTCAGACTGGAATTTACATTCAACTTGGAACCGGGTTGAGACTGCGTAAGTAGGACGGGATAGAACGAGGTAACCGTCGTCGAGTCAGGAATCCAGTCTTGTTGCGATAGGAAGAATGAACCATCTACCTGCAGGTCCTGTTCTGATAGAATCTCGTACGTTTTCTGGTCTTTTGCCCCCTCTAGTGAGGATATCAAATCATTCCTCCTTGGTGTTTGGATATAAGTGCAATCGCGATTCTGCTCCGCGCAAGCCTTGCAAGGTTGGGATCCCTTGCATTTCCTTTTTAACTTGACGCATCTTTCACAAGCATTTTGTGGTCTCCCTCGCTTCTTCTGGTCCAGGGATGGAGGCGGTAAACCTGATCTGAGTCGTCTGTCACACGTTCTCCAATGACGAAGGAGTGCGTCCCTGAAGACTTTCCATGAGCTATTGAAACCCAAGAAGGAATGATCAAGTATAGACTAACCGTCGATTGAATCCACGACTGCAGTATTGGCATTGGTAAGACCTTTCATCTGTGTCTGAGCCCTCGTTGCTTCAGTATCGACATTCTAGAACGAGGTTGCAGCAAGCTTACGCGACAGATAATGCCGATTGAGGTGGTCTTGATGCAATATTGTCTGTGAGTACTACATGCCGTCAAACGCCTAGATTTTGAATATCATACCTGACTTTGTAAACCCGGCAGAACAGATAGGACAGCAATGTTGCGGCTGTTGATCAGACATGGTGTTGACCGAGGTCATCAGGTCGGGCTAGGGAACTTGGACGGCAGTACAAATTGAGAGACATAAGCGATGCAACCTAGCAAATACAGTGATGGAGAAGTCATGGGCCACAAAGTCCACAGTCGATAGCAGAGATGAGCCTGAACAAACTAGACTGCTGAATTTGACGCGCCTAAGCAACCAAAAGCTGGTCACGATGAACACGTGGAGGCGGGAAATCTGCCACCCCCGCAGGAGAGATCGGCATCCCGCCTCATCCCCACGATCTAGTCTAGATCCAGATATCGAAACCCCGCAAAAGCACAGCCGCTCGGTTTCTAGTGAGAAGCATTTCGGCATTTGTTCGCGGCATCCGGGACTTGGAGGAATAATACCTTAACTGCCATTAATCGCACGCCTTCCACTTGAAATTATTAATCTTCGACCGTCACCGATTTTCAACTCAAGCCAGTGACAAATTCCCTTCGCGTGTTACGCGGAGTCCAAACAACCCTAAATTATATCTCCATAGCACTACGTGATTATGGGAGACGTGACAGCTGAGGAGCCCTACCATCGGGTCGCTACCGTGGTAGTAAGTAAAAGCGTGACATCAAGTGTTTGGTTCATCATCGACTAACAATAAAGAAGCGCTCAAATGAAGGCTTCCAGTTCAAGATCAACTCAGTTCCAATCCCCAAACTTCAACCATGGGAAGTGCTAGTTAAGCTCTCCGCTACCGGTGTCTGCGGCACTGATATGGCCCTTGCAGGTGGCTACCTCGGACCATGCTGTGAGGTTCTTGGCCATGAGGGCGTGGGCCGCGTTGTACAAGTTGGCTCTGGAGTAGACCCCAACTCTGTCATGATTGGCGATCGAGTTGGTATTGCTTGGGTCAGGGACGTCTGTGGTCGATGCAATTGTTGTCGTGAACCCGGTGGTGAGGTCCGTTGTCTGGAGCAGCAGAATTCAGGACGGAAGTGGGATGGAACCTTTGCAGAACACTGCATTGTACCAAGTCGCTATGTGCTGACTATTCCTGAGTCGGAGGAGCTGCCAGATGAACTGGTTGCGCCGACATTGTGTGGTGGCGTTACTGCGTATAAAGCACTCAAGGCTTGTGGAGCGACACCAGGAGAATGGGTTGCTATTGTCGGAGCTGGCGGCGGTGTTGGGGGTTTGGGGATCCAGTATGCAAAAGCCATGGGATTCCGCGTTGCGGCTGTTGATATCGGGCCTGCAAAAGAGTCATGTATCAAGATGGGAGCCGACGTATACTTTGACGGAGCATCGCCTGATACACCGGCCGAACTCAGGAAGCTTACCCCTAATGAAGCTGGAGCCAAGGCCGTCATCGTCACTGCAGGATCAGGTCGAGCATATCAGAGCGCCCTTGATCTTGTTGCAGTGTTTGGCACTTTGGTCTGCGTTGGCATTCCTCCGCCAGACCAAGCGATGAGTCTTCATCCGTTGACTCTCATTGACCGTGGCATCAATCTGCTGGGAACATTAGTGGGAACACGAACTGAAACACTCGAAGCTCTGGAGTTCGTGCGAAGAGGCGTGGTTAAACCTGTCGTGGAGTCGGTGAATTTTGATCAGCTCGACGATTTGGTCAATCAATTCTCAAAGACATCTGGAAAATTGGTCATACAATTTCCATCCTAGGTTTCATTCTCTGTTCTCTTGTAGCTTCGAGGTTGTTATACAAGTCGATTAGAAGATCTTATAGACAGCAAATACCAGTCAATTCTTATTAAAAGTAAATAGTTCTATAAGTTTTTCGGTTGTAGCTCATATCATCACCGCTGCCAATGCTCTATAATGATCTGATATGATCCCAAATTGAGACAAGCAATAAATGATAAATCTCACCAGATCAACCAAAGAACGTTTAACACGTTGCATGTATTTTTCTTTTTGAAGATAAGACGCATCCCGAGTAGATCTTTACCAGTTCACGCCAAAGGATACTAAAAAGTCCGGTGTCAGGATGGGACCATATGCACATATCGGACAATTCCCCACCTCCACCTCGATGCTGTGTAACCTGACGTCGGCTGAACGGGAAAATACCCACCATTACCCAGCCAAGCACAAAGGTTCACCAATATCGAAAGCGTGGCTACTGAGCACGGGAACTTCTATTTAAGGCCTGCCAGAGTCGCACTTGGGTTGACTTAGTACATCATGTAAAGAATCGTTATAATATCACCATCAGGATGACTACTGTTAACCCTCTTGTTCTGCCGCCTGGCATCGCACCATCTGTTTTCCATCAATTCATATCAGAAGTCACTGAAGTTACGACCGCTGAAAATGTTATCATCATATCCAACCCTGACCAGTTGGACAAGCAGGACTACCGCGACCCCAGCAAGATGCACGACATGTTTGACATAACCTCGAAGCAGCATTTTGTCTCCTCAGCTGTCGTCACTCCCCGCGACGTAGCCGAGGTCCAAGCCATCGTCAAGCTGTGCAACAAGTTTGAGATTCCCCTTTGGCCATTCTCCATTGGCCGAAATGTTGGGTACGGTGGTGCTGCTCCCCGTGTCCCAGGATCGATTGGTCTTGATCTTGGGAAGCATATGAACAAGATCTTGAAGGTTGATGTTGACGGCGCT